CCCCCCCCCCCTCTCTGCCCCTCCTCACCTCTCTCGTCACCTTCTCTTACTCCCCCCTCTCTCTCTCTCTCTCTCTCTTACAGTCACTCACTCGCACACACACGTACACGCACGTGCCGCCGTCCGCGGCCGTTCGCGATCGCGGTACGACGGGATGATCCGACCTCGCCGAGAATACTCGAGGAATCGAGACGCGCGTCTAGCACCTCGTCGTCGCACACACGGCACTCGGGAGCACTTGGCGATCACCGCAGGATCGAGTCGGTGCCGTGGGTCAGGCGAGAGGACCACGCGGGACGTACCGGGTATTCCCTCGAAGTCGTCAAAACTGGACGACGAGCTCGACGACGAAGTCGCGGTTTCGCTGTCCGCCTGACGCCGTTACGCAACGCTTCTATAAGCATCCGTGATCCGCTCGGAATGTGGCTCTCTCTCTCTCTCTCCCTCTCCCTCTCTTTCTCGCTCTCTCTCTCTCTCTTTCAGTACTCGATGTCTCCAGCTCTCGCCTTTTCCCTCTGTTTCGGCTTCTCCGTGTCCTCCTTTCTTCTCTCTACCTCTTTCTCCGTCTTTCCCTCTTTCCCGTGCGAAAGCTCCTCTCTTCCGATCTCTCGCGATCGCGCTTTCCTCGGGGACGATCCGATCGGATTCACCGGTGAGTCATCACCGCGAGGGGACCTGCCTACGGTGGAACGGTCGATGACTAAGATCCACGGGACTGGCACCGCGAGAAGAAGGGTTCCCCGCGACCGCCGGTGGGCACTGAGAGTCCGTCTCGCGAATTGGAAGCACGGAGATGAAGAGGAAGAGAACCTTTGGTCGCGCGAGGTACTGCCGACACGTTTACACGCACACTGGCGACGACCAGGTAGGCACGCACGCACGCACGGAGACACACGCGCGCATTTCCTTCACGGCACGACGGACGACGAGGCTCGGTGCACAGCGGCAGGCGGCAACAGCAGCAGCATCATCGTCATCGTCAGCACCCGCACCACAGCCAGGGCCGTGGCACCAGCTTGCGCCGGTGCGCCGCGTATGTATGTACGTACGTAAGTACGTACGTACGTACGTACGTCCGTCCGTCTGTCCGTCGGTCCGTCCGTTCTAGCGCGGCTAGAGCGGTGCCTCGCGCCTCGGCTCTAGCCTCGAGTTCGGCTAGCCTGGCTAGGAGCTTCTATTTTTATCATGGGGTGGCGAATTGTTCCCCACGGCCGCGACGGCGGCAGCAGCATCAGCAGCAGCTACGCCGACTCGAGCGAGCCGTTCGCCAACGCGACCGGGTTCGGACCATTTATAAATAGTAGGAATCTTCGCGCCGCGCCGCGGAAAATCGGCGAGGATTCGTGGGACGTGAGAAAAAGAGAGAGAGAGGTGCTCCGAGGTGATCAGCAGCGCTCAACGGTACCACTGCTCGCCGGTGTTGCTCAAAGCACGGACGCGTGAAGAGAGACTCGTGGCTGAGAATTTCAGGGCCAACCGAGGCGGTATTGTTCTCTCGGACGAGCACCTCACGGTGAAAAGAGGCGTAGACGGGGAAATGGATCGGTTGATTCGGCAAAAATCTTTAGCTCGCTGGACGACATCGAGTGTCTCGCAACTAAGCAGATATTCGCTCGTGCGGCGAAGAAATGATGGTGGATGCAACTGCTCATCTCGCTCATAACGATCCCATTTTCACCCCTGCCTCGGTGCCGTCTTGCTTCTCGTAGTCGATCGTTTCGTTCCCGATCTAATTTCACTCCGCCTCATTACCACTGCGAGCACTGCTTTCGCTGACTCGCATCGCCAGTGTGCGAACCAGTCATCAGCTGTGCGAAATTTCCTTCAACGCGACAGCAAAAGAATCGGTTGGCTCGACGAGTGGTGCTTCGTCGAGCGTCCGAAGCTATACTTTCCGACAGTTTCGACAGAGGAGAGCCGCCTTTGCCGCTCACCAACAAATCTGCCGTAATACCAAAAACACGATTAGACACGCGATCGTTAATCCCACGTAGTTCTCAGACTTGGTCGACCGCAGCCGTGGAAAACTGGCCGTCCGTGTATCACGGCTATAGATTCGCTAGCCCCTAACGAGGTCGTTAGTTGCAACAGCGAATTTGCCGGCTCGAGCCGGGGAAACGTGCTCGACGACTTCGGCCACGAGTCTGATTCGGGAAACGATTGGATCGCGCGCACGTTCGAGTGCCCTTCGTGTACCGAAAAGGAAGAGGGCAAACAAACCGAAGAGGAAGGGCTGCGGGAAACGGCCGCCGTTCGATCGGCCGGGGTGGAAGGAAGGGGATGCACGACGGGCGCGAGCGAGCGAGCGGGAATGTGTGTCTATAGACTGCGTTCTAGAGGGTTGCATTTTTAATGCGCCGCTCGCAGCGGCGCGATATCGGTCAGTAACTCCCCCCGCGAGAACGCGCGAGATAAGGGCCGCGTCGAGTGGGTTTACACTCCGTTCGAGCCGAGAGAGTCGATGATCCGTACGAGTCTGACGTTATCGTCGCGCGGCTCGCCACGCTCTATTGACAGGAGCGGAGCCGGGAACGGGGAGAACGCCGCGCCGTTATTTATCAACGCGTGTCTCTTCTCTTCTTTTTTTTTTTTATAACAGAAATCAATTAATCGATCTCGGGGCTATTAATAATGGCGCTAAACGAAAAGTGACGGTCGAGCCGCGCTCGCTACGGAGCTTGCGCGCTCCGAGAGGGACAGGCGGAGGGAGGGGGGGGGGAGGGAGAGCGGCCTTCCCGGGAAGGAAGACGCCGAAGAAGAAGGCCCCGGCTGCCGTTAGCACGAGCGTTGCGCGGCTTTTATCTGGCCCGAAAAGGCGACGAGAACAGTGCCAAGCGGAACGGTCTCGGCGGAGCGGCGCGTCGCAATCTCTGTTTATCGCGAATCGCCGCGGTAACGAGCGTGCGGAAGCTCGGGGCGAGATGAAATCGCGAACACGCGCACACCGGGAAAACGCTCATTCGTCACTGGCGTCGAGACGAGATGTCCCGTTTCTATTTTCTCTTTTTTTCCCTGAAAGAAAAACGAAAAAAACCCGCCCCCGAGGGGCAACGACGATTACTCGGCGCGACGCGAGCGTTACTTAATCGCGCGATGGAACGACGCGAAAGACACCTGGCCCTCCGAGTGCGTTCGCTTCTCCTCCGTTTTCGTCCGTCTTCTAAAGTGCAGTCACCGCCGTTCCGGCGAAACTTTGGCTCGCGTCGGGGTGACGAGACCCGCGATCGAGGAATCTCGTCGAAATAGAGCAGACGCGCTACCCGAAACGAGAGCGCGTTCCAGATTCAATTAGCTCCCCGCTGAGGAGGAGCGCGAGGGGGAGCGGCTCTTTGATTAAAACTTCAACGTTTCCCCGTTTTCGCGCGTTTACTATTCCTCCCCTCCTCCCCCGGTCTCTCTCTCTCTCTCTCTCTCTCTTACGTCGACGCAATTTCTCGCGGGTGACTCGCTCGAATATTCCCGGCGATCTCGCGAACACCGGCGCACCGAGGATCGTCGAACTACCCGGAGCGGCGGAAATGAACGTTTTTCCTGAAAATTCATCGGAACCGTCGGCTACCTGTCTCGGTGCCTCGGGGGAGGGGGGCATTTCGCGCCGGTGGCGTGCGGATTCGAATCGCACGAAGAAGGGGGAGTCGAGACGCGGGGTAATTAACTCCCAACGTCCAGCGCATTCCCACAGCGTGCGCGACTAATTGATTTCACTTATCCATCGGTCCGCGAAGCGAGGAAGCGGAGATCGGCCGCGATTTCGCCGGCGATACACACCGCGAGCAGGACGCGGAACGGATCCGCGAGAATCCGCACGCGACGAGCCGCGCACGACGCTCACGTACTGTGTGACGGTACGTGTGTGTACGTATGATCGCAGAGCTTCGAGCACACTTCCGGACGATCGATCCGACTCTCTCTCTCTCTCTCTCGGTCGGAGTAACACGTGCGACGTGCAGCGCCGACGTGTCGCGCGTCCCTTTTCTCGCAGCCGCTTGCGGACACACGTGCAGCCTCGTCGGATCGCCGGGAGAAGCCGGAAGGTCGCACCGTCGACGGCGAGAACGAGCTCTCGGCGGGGTCATCGCGTGCCTCAGGAACACCCTCGCGCGCGAGCGGTGCACGCGAACGGCTATCCCCGTTTCCCGGTATATGTGTGTCACGAGGACAGCGGCACGCACACGCACGTGCAAGCGGTGTTGCTTCCTCCCCCTCCGACTCGTCCTGACAACAACAACGACGATCACGACGCGATTTCCTCGGCGCGCCCGTCCGATCCACCCTCGCGACATCCGGGACATCGGAGGGAACTTGGACGGCCGTTCGAGCAACGCACATTTCTCTCCCCTTCTCCCTCTCTCTCTCTCTCGTGCAGCGGACGACGCGGTCTATCTCGACGGGTTCTCGCGAATTTTTATCGACACGTGCGCGAACGCGGGTCACCCTCGAGCGCGCGCGGACGGCGTACCGTGTCGCCGTGCGGCGTCCCGACGACACCTCGGCATCGAGCGACCGAACGGACGAGTCGTTTGCGACCGGCCGGTCTTCGTCCACCTTCCTCCCCCGTCCGCCCGCCGGGGTGTATGCGTGCTCGTCGGGGACGCTGTTGTTATCGTCGTCGTGCCCGCCGGGGCGGTCGTCCGTTGCGCTCCACCTCCTCGTCGCCGCGGATACGCGAGAGATCTTACCCTGCGACGTCGACACACGCACCGCGATCACGGAAACGTGCGCCAGGGTGGTGGCATGAGTGCGACTATCAGTCTCGTGGTGCGCCGCCGCCGACGCTGGCCGCGCCGTCGCGACGACGACGACGACGACGGCGGAGGCGGCGGCGTCGCGGCGCCTAGCGTCGTCTTGTCGGTGAAATACCCGCGAAACGCGAGCACTCGGTGCAGCGGTCGGAAGAGCGGAGCACAATCGACCGCTCGCTTCTACCATCGACCGACCTCCCGCGCGAGGCCGTCGTTTTTTCCTTCCTCCTTTCGGCGGCGCGCCAGCCACTGGGATTTGCAAATTTCCCTCGCGACTGAATATCGCGAGTCGAGAACTCGCGCTTTTCTTCAGCCGGGCGACCCGCGAATTGTCGGGGTCGACGTTGCCCGTTGTTGATTTTTCGATCCCCGTACCGAAGGAGCGCCGTCTCTTTCATCCCGCGAACGATGTTGTACCCTGCAATGATACGCCGTGTGCTCCCGCACTTTTTATCTCGCGATCCGAACGTTCGGCTTGTCCAGCTTTCGCGGACAAGTAGCGCGCCTTCGCGGTCAATAACTTATTTCTGGTCTGAAATGCATCTCCCGACGTATCAACGACTGGTTAACGCATGGCGGTTTTTACGCTTCATTCGCGTCTACTTCTTTTTACATGTAAAGTGTAGCAGAGTTGCCGTTACGAGGTAATTAATCACAATAAATATCGCGCACGTGATACAAAAGATAAAAAAATACGAGATTCGAAGCGCTAATAAAATAGTGTAAACAAATGCGCGAGTCAATATTCGAGGTCGTACATTTGTCATTTCCTTTTGCAATGATAGCCGATATCGACGCAACTATATTACAGTTTATTCGTCTCGGCAATTAATCTTTTTGTTCGGGACAGACTGGAGTCTGTAAATCATGAGTTTGTATCTACGTGTGATACATATAGATTCTCATAAATCCATATTTTAAACGCACCGCCCACAGACCTCCAAGGAGTGTCCTAAAAACGTTCACAGGACGTCCCTCGGATGAAATGTGCTGTGTGGGAAACATTTCTTATGTGGCACCTTCGGTTTTGTGTCATGAATAATTTAATTTGGAATGAAAAGGAAAACTCTGTTGACCTGCCGTTCCCTTTCTCAGTCCCTTTCTCAGTCGTATTAAATAAAAATATGAAGGACATCTCTCTTAATCGTTTTCGATTTTTTATGTAATACTATGAATATATTTAACAGTTAAAAAGAAAAAGTAAAATATGAAAATATACTGCACGCGTATATTTATATTTCGAATAAATACTAGTATTTTAGAATATACTAGGCACACTAAAACTAAAAGAATAATTTTTTCAACTAGCAAAAATAGGCAAAATTCATTAGGTTAAAACTCTCGTAAGAAACTAGAAATCTCTAGTTTCCAGATATATTGCCGACTATAAAGATTGCTTATTCTTTGCAATGTTACACGACTATAAATCGAAACCCTTCGCTAGTTCTATAAAAAAATAATTTATAGACTGCGTGGCGCCATTTAACGGTATAACGTGAGAAACCTGTTCAGCTTAGAGTTAGTCGCAGTAACTGTGCGCAGCGGATAAATGTGAACTCATTTGTTCAACATCCATGCGCATTCTTACCCAATATGTCTTTTTATTTGTAATAGATCGTAGAATTCTAAAGTGCATACACTTACCTCTACTGACTCTAACTGGGTTTGAGTCCCTGCTGGTTCGAGTCTTGACTACGTGAAGTGACTTAGTTTCAAAGCCTCCGCTATGAGACGCCACCGTTCTTAACGAAGATTCCCGGTCGTGGTGCGATGCATATGCGTGTGTGTGCGCATGTGCGCGTTTATATTTTCTATTTATTTATCAAGGAACGTTCCATATTACGATATTGTAAAGAATAAGCAAATTATATTCGACAACATATTTGAAAATTAAAAACTTCAGACTGTAAAATGCTATCACAACCATTATTATCATTTTTGTAAAAGTTACAACCCAGTGAAGTTTGCCTATTTCTCATGATTTTCTTCATGATTGAAACGAACGGCCCTGTAATTTTTGTGTATCTAACGTATTTTAATGTACACATAGGGACATATTTTTATAAAGATTTTACATAAATTCGTAAGAGAAACATTAACTAAAAAGTTCAAAGTAAAACTTCCTCCAAAAAACTAGACGAACTTCTTATCTTTCGCTAGTGTGGCTGAGAATAACGGCTGAGCTGAATTCTCTTGATTCTAATTATAGAAACGAGAAAAACTACCGCTTAAAAACTACTTGTATTGGACCAATTAAATCCGAGAATATCGAGAAAATAATCAGTCCCCTAACAAAGAAAGATGAAAGAATCTTGCATCATGGATTCTTCAGTCGATATGCAAGTAGAGATTACGTACATCATCAATCTTTGTTTCTCAATCTCTGAGAAACTGTATATGGTCATGTGTTATACTATCAGCAACACGTGATATAACAAGATCGCAATCGAACGTAACGTCAATATTGCACTGTTGCACTGTTTTCACAATCCGGAGGCGTGTCATTCATGTCATCATATCGTCGCTCTCAGTATCGTGACCGATTACGGTTGTCTCGGAAGATCGTCCGCTCGACGTGCAATTTCCTCTTTAATTTCTTCCTTCGTCATGATAGTACGAACGACGAACGTATCGCACGTATTTGAGTGGTCTTATCTTTGACACGCCAAAAGAAAATAAGCGTGTCCACATAAACAGAAACGCCAATTCACAGGAGCGGGTGTGCGATCGCGACATTTTGCACGAGCGCGCCGGACTGTTGAAACGTCTCTTTTCCTTCCCTCTTCACGGAATTGTATAAAGTGTGCGGTGCGAGGAAAACGGTGCCTGAAACGCTCGGCATTTCCACGGAGCTTCCCCGCGTTCGCTTGGCGAGTCGCCGTGAGAAGGAAAATTGCAACAACTTTTACGTGCCAGTAAGATTCGCAATCGGGCCGCGCACATTTGTCGACGATCCGCGTCTTCATTCATGTTCGCCAAGTTTCATGAACTTTCCGCGTCGGAAGTGCTTCCTCCATTTCATGTGTTTCACTTCTCGCTTTCCGGTCTTTCTTTCCCGTGCCTGCCTCTTTCGCGCTTTTTTGTTCGCGACTCCTCGTCTTAGCCGCGGATCATGAGTGCTCCGGGTGCTAAATAACGCATTCTATGTTCGCCACGACAGTGCGTGACCAAGGAGAGATACCTGATGCATGCACGTGTCGGGTTTCAACCGGTAATGGAATTATTTTCCCTTAGCGAGGGAATTGATTTCCGTCTACGCGGCTCAGTATGGTGGTCAGTACGACATACGATGTCCCTTGACAGACAACGCGGACAGAAACGCTCTCCGTTGGCTTCAACGTACGAAATCATGTTGGATATACGTGTGCTTCGTGAATTATTCGGTGGATTTTCGCAAACTGACCGTGAATCGATTAGCATATGTATCCGGTTACTTCCGTGATCGATAATATTTTCAGTAATTTTTCTCTCTCTCTCTCTCTCTCTCTTTCTCAGGTGCATTTCTTTTCTCTCTTTCGGTCTGACGCTGAATCCCGCAAAATTTTACGAATCGGCGCAATCAACTCCGGGTGCAATTTGCTCGCAATTTTCCGCTACTGCAAATATTACTTTATCGCGTCAATTGAAATGCAAGCGTTAATCACTTAGCGCATTTTCGAGCGGGCAGGTGTGACCGAGGGTCGAAGCGGACGTTTCGCGAAATACGACGGACTGTGATGAAGGAAAACGCAACCAACGCATTGTAAATCGAAGACACCCACGCCGGGTGGCTGCGCACATGCGGTTAAATATTTACCAAGCGTGACACATTATGATAATTGATGGCGCAGTTGGGTTTAGAAATTTGCGGTAATCTGTACGTTTACGAAAGACGTGCATATTTGAAGATATCTGGAATAAAAAAAAACAAAGAGGGGGAGAGAAAGATGGAAGGTGACGGTAAAAACTCGTAAGCTTAAAATATCACCGATTATATAAACTGTGCAATATCATCGTTTACATGTTTCATTCCGTTTATCAACATATCGCAAAATAACACGTTGCATCATAAAATCGTGAGTACGCGCGATTTTATGGTGGGGACGTTATGTATAAATTCCGAGCAATGGTGACTTACATGCGTACTTTTCGGAAAAAGGAGAGAATTCAGCGATGATATCATACTAACGTCTCGGGAAGAGCCGACTCTTTTCCTGTCCGATAATCGTTTCGAAGTTTCGAGCCACGTGTAAAATGCGCGTGCAGTGAGTGATCGATCAAACAGTACTCAGAGAAATTAGAACTCAGTAATGTTTAAAAAAAAAAAAAGAAGAAGAAGAGACTTAAAAAGTAATTCTCATAGTCTTTTCTAGCGTGCTATAGACGTTTTATGTCAAAACGAGAGAAAGATATATCCGCGTAATAAGTTGTAATCGGGTTTAACAGGTAATTTAAAACGCGATATACGTTTTAGTGAAAAATTATTTAAATTTTTTTGCTCTTCAAACAGTCGTAAAACTAATATTCGTTCCCTTAATGACTCAAACAATAACTGATTCATAATAATAAAATAAAATATTAAAAATGATCTAATGCTTATATCATAAGAGCTTAATATTTTCTCAACATCGCTCATTATTTATTCATTATTATAAATTACGACAATTATCTCAAGAGCCTTCATTATCGAAGCCTTCATTATCCCTCTAACCAGGACTCTACGGTAAAATTATAGTAAAATTATATAACAGCAAGTATTCTTTTCTTTATCAGTATAAACACGCGTAATTTGGCTCCCCGTTTGATGCTGCTCGGTTCTTCGAGGATTCGTTTCCGTCGTTTCACGAACATCCCTAGAATCCCTTCGTCGCGCGTTCCAAGCCGGATGCCGAACAATGAAACAAACCGAACTTCACTCGAACTCACCGGAATCTCGTTTTCGCGACCGTGTTGCAGGAGGAGCGATTCGCGGACGCGCAGCAACATGGACCTCTTGAGTCCGGCCTTCCGTTCCCTCGAGTTGGGCGACGTGAAACCGCCCAAGGACAATTTCCTGCAGGTCGAGCGTAACGAGGTTCTGGAGAAGAACAGCGACGACGAGGACGCGAGGGAGCGCAGGTTCAAGTCGAGCAGGGAGAAATCGCGCGACGAGCTGCCCACGATCGACCTGGACGAGGTCGCTTGGCACGACACGCCCGACGATTGTTGGCTCGTGATCTACGATTACGTGTACGATTGCACGGAATTCTTGAAGAACCATCCGGGCGGCCAGGACATCCTACTGGAGTACGCCGGACACGACGCCACTCTGGCGTTCATCGGCACCGGACACTCCGCCGTCGCCAGGAAGACCTTGGAGCGCTACATAATCGGCGAACTGCCGCCGGAAGAGAGGATCTTCCGCATTCCCGACGGTGTCAAGGTACTGGGATTCTGATTCGCTCCGAATCGCCGTACCTTGTTATCGCGCTCAATCAGGTAGCAATGAACCCTTTCGCTGCGAAGGTCGCGGTTAGTCAAAAGTGGACGGATGTTTGCGAGGAACGTGTATATAAACACGTTTATATTTATAATATTTCGTTATATTTATGTATAATATATACGGCATAGGATAAGCTATGTTATATCCGCGCATGTAAGTGCTCTTAATAAGATCGAGTTTTTATATCGAATATAATAATTTAATCAGTTACCACTGTTGTATATAACATATTAATTATAATAATTTAATAAATTACTGCTATTCAAGAAGAAGAAAATGACGACAGGTGACCGTCTGGTTTGCAGCGGAAGGGTTAAGCGTACTTACGTCAGGGGAATCGAAACCGATATAACCGATATCTTTTCGCCGTCGCAGCGTTGAAAGTCTCGTCGAGATCATATCGGTTTCGGCCGACTGCGAAACTCAGGCAGCGACTGACGCACAAAAGCGCCTGCGATCCGTTTGTTTCCGACGATTATCACCACGCGATAGATTTTCGATCAGTATTCACCGCCGCGATCGCGGAGCGTTAAGCGATAATCCGACGATAGAACGCCATTCTCCTTTTTACCGGTTGCCTCCGCTAATTGAAATCGAAGCTCCGAGGTAGAACGATCGATTCACTCGGACACTTTATTGGATATTCCGGCGCTCATCCCGTTAAGTATCGAGGCGATTCCGCGGATCTCTTTGTCCGCGAATAGCGATAAATAAATCATCTCGGAGATATATGTTCAATAACACGGCGAGTATCGCGAGTATCGCGAGAGAACGCGAAGGTGTATGATATCTCGAGCGAAGAATAACAACTGAAGAGATATATATATATATTAATGTAATGCATGCAGCAAAACCTTGTCGCGACCTCCGGGAAGAAACGATAACCCGGCCGGCCCGATCGTCCGATCAGTACTAACGGTAGGTCGATGATAGTGCAAGCATCGCAGGATTCGCATTAACTCGGCAAATTTAAGATATATTCATTGTCACTTGTAGAAAAACTGCGACGAGAGAGTGGAGTTTGTAAGAATAATCCGCAAACTGCGGACATCGCAAATAATATAAGCGTTATCGTAAAGAGAATATCTTTCCTTTGGTTTAATTATAAGTATGTATAGAATAAAATAGATATGTAAGAAAATATAAAACGATAGTTTCAGCAAGTCGAGTTTACTAGAAAGAATAATCTTACTTCAAACGTCGAATTTTCGAAAAGCGAGGATCTAACGAATCCATTGGTCACCAAGTTGGCTACCACGCTATACTTTTTTTAAACTCATGTATCCTCCTGTATTCGCCTACACTATTTTGAATCAGATGCAGGCCTAGGTCAACTAAAAAGAAACAGCAAGCCTAATGTGTTCTCGCGGTTCTAACGATTCGCGAGGCGAAGATCACGCCTCCAGACAAATTTTATTCGCGACTGCGAGTCAACAAAGATAACGTTCTGCGGCGGTATGAAAGCTGCGCGTGTTTTCTTTCCTTCTCGTGATGCTTGCAACGTACCGAAAAGAAAAATGCGTATCTGGAAACACACGCGCGAGACGGTAGCGCGTTAGATAATACGAGGAAAATATACGTCGTTAATATCGGCGGCGCAGCGTCAGCAGTTCAGAGCGTTTTTCGGCATTGCCCGCGACTCGTCGAACCGCGGGGTCAAGTGCGTGCGCGCGCGCGTACGATGATAACCGCTTGCTTTCTCCTACCGTCCGAACTTTCGGGGCCAATTACGCGCAATTAATCATGGCTGTAATTGATTCGCGCGCGCGACACGATCGCAGACGGCACTGTCGCAACTATCGATTACTCTCGGCAGATTACCGTAACCGAAATCCGATGATACAACGCGAGACATCCGGGGTCGTGCGATCGCCTTTGAACTTTACCACCGCGCCGAAATACTTCAAAAGCGCTACCATGACCTGCATCAAAGTTGCCCGGAGTCACGTCGATAATCGATGTCGAACGCGCTGATATTTCTCGTAGCAGTGAGATGATGCATTTATAGGCCACGACCGTAGCCGGGAGAAGGATTTGCCAACAATTATCCCGAGGTTTGGTCAAACAGCTTCGATTATTTGCCGAATCATTTAGTACCATTATGCAGTGTATGTTGCAGTGATCGAACAACTTAATGGAAACTATTCAACAAAATCGTTACGCAAATCCTTTTCTCAGTGTGCCCTCCGAATCTCATCTATGCGGTAAAAAAGCTTTGTGTTAAATTAACATGAGTACGTTGAAAAATAATACAAATATTGCAAGAATCAACACAAAATTAACATACGCAATATGTTAATCGATACTGAAATATAAAATATTATTTAATTTTATTATTTTAACACTTACGCAATTGAATATCGACTCGAGCACAAAATATTGAGATGATATAATAAACGTAATATGCTAAAAATTAACAGACGGGGTATATTAAAAATTTAACGCCAAGATTTTAACAAGGACCGATTTTAAACACATGTGCGAAATATTTTTTGCCGCGTATCTCTTGATTCGCGTTATCGAGTGACATTACGTGATTTACGTGATCGGTATGCGTATTTGTACAGTACAAGGGTAGCGTCCGGCTCGCATTAATAATAATACGTTGTAATGCGACTCCTTCGTAAAAGAGATGATTATATTTTATATTTAATAGATTCTATATGCATTGAAACGATATATAATTACGCGAGATAAAAGCTAAATAAAAAAGGGAAAACGAGACGCGTGATTCATGAAACGTGTAGGATCACGTATCGCTATTTACGTTTGCCAGGATATTGTATTTTACACGTGCGAGTGCGTGCGCGTCCTATATGTTAACACGCTCCATGCCGCGTGTATCACCGGTGGTGCTCGTTGAACTTTCCGTTCAGGTCAGATCTGGTTCATTTTCGTGCAGGTCAGATATTTGTTGGACATCTCGGCTCCGAAACGAAATATAACCATGAGATACTTTGATGATTATTAAGAAACTACGCTTACGATTTTAGTGAAAAACGAGAGGACGATAAGAGAGACTTGTAGAAATATTGTGAAAAAAGAATTACAAGGCCGTGGAGCACCGAGTTTTTCAGAAATTAACAATTGTAAAGTACACAAATTCTGATAGAGAGAGAGAGAGAGAAAGAGTTGAAATATACGACCCAATAAAAATACGGAAAAACAATAACAACAATACGGAAAAATGTGGAAAAATCCGACGATGATTTTCTTTATCGGTGCGTCTCTATCAATACATATGATATATTCGCAAACCTGACACGAGTAGCCCCAGTCAAAAATATACAAATCAAAGTGCGAAAAACGATTATTTCTTCACGAGTTTTTAAACATTACGTAAGTTTCATTGATATCCCCTCGCTACAGTGTGAAAGCTGTGTACCATAAATCATGTTTATAAACACTTTAACACAAATTTGTCGAGCCTTCTCGTTCATTAGCTCGTTATATCGACTATTACTTTTCCAATAGTATTGTCACGGAGCAACTCAGCTTAAGACGAGCGTTGCAACGAGGGAGGGAGGTAGGGAGGAGGGGGAGGCGAGGTTGCTGGATCCTGACGTTGAATCTTCTTCGGAATTTCCAGATCCCCTCGCCCCCTTCCCCTCGTTCATTGGACATTTCTCGCGCCACCGCCGCGTACTTCCGCGATCACTCGACTCCCGCCGAGATTTTCGGCGGAAGTTTCGCGCGCGGCGAGGAATGGAGGAATACGGCGCGAACGAAAGATAACAGTCGTGATGAGTACTTTACACCGGAGTACATTGTATTTCTTGGTCCTCTAACATTTATAGTATACACAACATACAGGTATGAAGTGATAGCGATGTAGCTCGGTTCGTTCGCCTTTATACGCGCCGCTGATCGAGATCAGCGCGTGAAACGAATTCGCCACGTCCACCTCGTGGGTGGATGGTCAGGCCGGGCTTCTTATTATTAAATTGACAGTATCTCGTCGGCTCGACTCGCGTCCGTATATCGCGGGCTTTTACCTAAAATTAAATGTACACACGCATAACGCATCGTTTCCCCGAGAAGCTTCATCTCCGCCTGCTCCGTGGTAAACCCGAGCTACGTAACCGCCGAGATGCGATCTTACGATACGACGGAGCTATTTCTTTTTTTCTTTTTCTCCTTTTTTTCTTCTTTTTTCTTTGTCAATACGAGTACGTATATCTACGTGTTAGACACACGTCGCAGCGATCGTGGAAAACAGAAATCACGTGCGCGACCGACGCTGAACTTACTCCGTAATTTCTAGGAAGTGTTTCTCCACACGTTTTGCGTCACCGCTACGTATGCGCGTACTTTCGTAATTACGACATCGTCGTGTGTTGCGATGCTTTCGTCTCTTTTTTTTCTGCATTTTTCTTTTTGCTGCTAACTGCCTCGCGCGATACATCGATACGAAATAAAGTTCGTGGCCCTTCGCGTTAGTTAGTGGAAAGACAGCATGTAAGTAGAATCTGAGAATCGAAGGTCTCTTACACTTCGAGAAGACAAACATATTTTGCTTAAGTTTTATCTGAGAAAAACATGCTCTCTCTCCCTCTCCCTCTCTCTTTTCCCCTCTCTCTCCCTCTCTATCTTAGTTGAGTCTATTTAAATGCGATACCATTTTTTTTGTCTAGTGCATCCCCTCTACGCTAAAGTAAGTTAAATCGACGCGTGTACGCGGAAGAAGCGATCGCGACTTCGCGTTACGTCCCCGGAAACTCGTCAAAAGCTTCTCTATTTTAGAACTTTCGCGCTCTTGGCAGTCCTGGCGGATTTCACCTCCGTCGACGCGATTATCGCTCGATCGCGCGAATAAATCGCACGATCGGCGACTTGATTGCGAGAACGACTCGACCTTTAATCGGCTGCCCGGATCCCCGCGACATCGCACTTAGCACGAATCCCGCATAATCGACATCGAGTAAACGTACACCTATTATTTACATCTAACCGCTATTTACACATAACCACAGTGATCGCGTTTGTTAAGGAGCGAGGGGATCTCGACGCTTTAACGAAGACAGGGATGCATCACTCGATACATTTTTTATCGATCGTGACTACCAACTGCATCGTCGCGCTGATTCCACACTGAAAAAAGGATTTAATAATAACGACGAAAATTTTGCAAACATTCGCCGATCAAATATTTGACCACTGCCATCAAATAATTCAGTTCCGCATACTAAATATATAATATACAGAATTACAGTATTGTACATATACAGCACGTGGAACTAAATTATTTGGTCGCAGTAATCAAATGTTTCGTCGGCAAATATTCGCCAGATTTTAATACTTATTGCCAAGTATCCTTTTTCCAGTGTGAGCGGATTCGTCGAGACCGTTGAAACGATACTATCGGTGGGGTTCGGCGGGAAAATGATTCATTATTCGATACGAAAGTGGTAATGTTAAATATATTAGCGCGATCGCGAAATTACGTCGGCTGGTACAGCGTAAGGATACTCGGAGTTATATACATTGTATGGTCCGCGGGATGAAACCTAACTAACGCGCAGTCCTAAGGAGGCTAGCTGTATAATGATCGATCGGGGACCTTGGGATAAAAGGGATGCAAGTGACACTCGAACTATACGATCACATACGTGTACGTGCTGCATGTAAGAGAACGTGAATTTTATCGTGCGACACATTTTTTTTTTCTAAGTGATAATATTTCACGAAAGCCGAAGTACGATCGATTAAACGGACATACACGCGCGCGCGCACACACACACATACACACACACACACACACATGCGTACACACTGAGACGTTATGCGGGCATTAAATGCTGATTCATCTCGGGCTAAATTTACACTCGTATCCCTTTCACTCTTCAGAGAATCCCCGATTTTACTCCCTCCGATTTTCCCATGCGCGTTCGTCGCGCGAGCAAAAAGAATCGCTCGGACGATCGCGTTCACCCGTGAAATTTTATTTCGGGAACAATCATGCAACTCTCTCGCCTGTCGATTTCATTGGCCTCGCGATATTTTTCGCCCGACCGCAAAATACACGTATCGAATATACACGCGTCTTCCGGCGAAAAGAAGGAAAAACGGCAGAAAGGAAAAAACGACAGCTCGATTGCTCACACGCGATCGATATCACACACACACATTCTGTCTTGTGGCGAGCAGTCCGGTCTGTTTTATATTTTTGCGCCTTTCCGCGTTTTTATACCGATAGAAAACCGTTACAAAAACCGATAGAAAAATTTTGTCGTAACGAATTCTGTTACACGCGTCAAATAGATACGATTTGTGTATTAATATCTCGTGTAGAGTGTTTACGAATTACGATAGGGAGAAGTTACTATGGTGTGTGTTTTCCACATAGTAGAGGATCAGGCATTACAACAGAGCCAACGTTTGGCCGATTTATTCGGCTGTATTAGCTTATGTTTTTTATTACAGATTATTTTTTCTTTCACTCGACACGGGAAGTGTCGATTGATGCTCCAATGAATCGCGAAACTCACCGATAAGACAGAGGAGGAACAAACGCCCCCTCGTCGGAAACAGGACGATCTCAGCTTGCATGAACTGCGAAGTCTCGCGTTTCTTGCTCCCTTCGAGAAATTTGTGCGATCCTTCACTCCTGATTTCCTCATTTTTGCAACTAAATGCGAATGCTCGGCCAAGAATTGGCTGCTGCTGTTGAATCTAATAACTATTGTGCGAACGTGATCCAATGCCGGGCCAGTACTGGCTCTGCCCGTATCGAAAATAGATATCGGGCCGATATCGAAAATTTGGCATCTGGTAATAGCCCGACCTATCGTAAAACCCTATGTGGGATAACGAGTTTTCACGAGTGCCACATACACACATCCACACACTACGTTTTACTTCGCTCGATCCGTAAGTGCTAAAATAGCGCAAGCGGAAAGGAAACGTGTTTTGCTCGACGTGACACGCTCAAATTTCAACTTAACCGAATCCGATAATATCCGACTAGAAATGCGATAATTTCGTTTTCATCACGTCTACAATAGTGACTAGTAACTCTAACGTGGTTCTCTCGCGCGCTTTAACGCGCACAGATCAACGCTACAGTGTAACACGTTATTTTAACACCGACTTTACATACTACTTTCTGCTTTGTATGTCGTTAGGACCATGTGTGTTAGATACCGGAATGCCTACAGCATCCGTCCGCTTATAAATCGCCTAAATGCTAAACGCGAGACAGAGACGACAGACGTAAGATGAAAATAGTTCCGTTAACAGTTGCTTTTTGTTCCTTACGATTATTAACCATCGTTGTAATTATTACGAGTCGCACAACAAAAAGAGACCTCCGGTCGAAGCAATCTCCGCGTGTCAGGCGTTGCCGAAAAGTAGCGATTGTTCGTCGTCTAGCGAAGGAGGATGATGAAGCCGCGGTATCTCATCGCGGGGTGGAAAAATTCAATTCGCTTCTAACTTTTCGGTTCGCGGCGTTAAATATCGTAATTATGAAATCTCAAATTAAACCTCCCGGGCGGCAAAGTTCGCCACCAATTCAATGAAAAATAAAATCCCCGTTAATTTCCACCCTCGTAACTTCGTTCCACGATACATTCTCTCTCGGCGAATTAATCATGCAATTGCGAGCGGTTGGGTAAATTAGATTAGCCGCAAATTATAACGTGATTTCGAGAAACAACAAGATTGCGCCACCGCCGTTATCTTCTCTCTATTTTTCCATCACTCTTCTGTCTCCCTCGGAAATGTCAAACGGGGAGCTTCGGTATTAGTTTCGGCGCAGTCTATATTCTCGGTCGCCGCTCTTCAACAAATCACAGCGACGTTCGACGCGAAATAGGCCCTCCGGGGGTTTTCTCCTCCCACCCCGGAAAAAAAAAAGTACGTCACGAGCATTTGACGGTGGACAACGAGAACGAGCTTTTATATTCGCGGAGAAACAAAAACTCACGACGCGGCAAATGTGTTACGGCAAAGCTCTCTATTTCGGCGACCAGCGCGTTCACGTAGAGGAAGTGGGGAAACTTGGCGACCCGGGCCAGCCAGGGAAACCGAAGGCAATTGGAATTAAATCGGATACACGCTCGCTCGCACGGGGGATAAAGATGGTTAACGAACGCACCCTAATTTTTCTCAGATCGACGAGGAGACGTTCCCGGCTGTTCGGATGTTGCTTACGTCAGGTGTCAGCAGTTCGATGGTTCGAGCTACCGAAGATCGTACCGAACGACGTCATCTTTACGCCGTCGGAATCACGCGTGTTCGATTGTTCTGTTTACCTCCTCACTTACCTATCAATCTTCATTAGATTATTTAATATTCGCTTATTGCAATATCCTATCTGCAGTTGAATAAATTACATGATGAATACGTATTTACTGAAATGAAGAATAAAGATTAAGTACAGATACGGTATTGAGGTAAATCAAATATTAAATGATTCTCGAATAGATACTTCTTTGTGTGCGAATTTCAAAGAAACTGCGATATGTAACCCAGTATCGGAAGGTAATAGTTTGTATGATGTTATATCTCAATATGCTCCACCGGTCCTTCATCTTCCACGGAATTCGCAGCATTAATGTAGAACTAGAATTCCGATTCGGGGTCAAACACATCTCAATCGCCGTGATCGATCATTTTTACCTTCTACCGCTATTACACCCGACAGCGAATTGCACGCACGACTCCGTGACGACATTCGACAAAGAGCGTCTAATCGCTAACATCGATTGCTTGCGATCTGGCAAAACCAAAAAAGCGCCGCATCTCGCCGCGGCTCAGAGCTACAGCATGGCCTGCCGCATGCCAGGGAAGCTTTCGCGAAAGAGCTCGATTGATGATTTATCAGCGTGCTCGCGACTTCTGCCCGTGATCGTCGCATGTCCTCTTACATCAAGCTACAGAGGCCGAATCCTTGGTCGAAAGCCGATTGCAGTACCGTCGTTTCCATACAGAACGCAGCGTCCTCGTACATCGTCGCGATTCGTTGTTGCTGAGCCCGATTCACGCTCTGCGATCTGCAACAACGACGTTTCATCGGTCCCGAATTAATTCCATCGAACTCGTGCGTCCCTCTCTCTCTCTCTCTTTCTCTCTCTCTGTATCTATTTATCTATCTATCTCTCCCCAAAGCATGATTCAAATCAGATAGATTTATATATTTATCTTCGTATACTCATAATTTCAATTATACCTTCCTTCTCGCTGCTATCTAAACTAACTCTTTATAATACATTTTCCGTTTTCCAACTTGCAAATCTGCAATCTAATTTAAAGCTCTCACAGCTTTAAAGCGATGATAAATGCACTTATCTATCCATCTATCTACCTTCCACTTTCCGTGTCTCGAATATTACAAGCATTTGCGCGGTAATATATATATATATATATACGCTACACGACTAGACTCTTGTCACGGGGAAGACCGAGTCTCGTTGTGGTAATCGCAGAGATCAGCGGTGAGCAGGTAGGAAAAGCGGCGTGGAATCTGGAACGGCCTGTATTTACATAACCGCCGTCTCGGCCGTTCTTCTGAATTACCGCGATCCCGGCAGAGAGAGAGAGAGAGAGAGAGCGGCTCTCGGCACCTCGAAATATCCCGGCTAACCGAATGCACCTCGCCGTCCGCGTTAACTCCCGACGGTGCCGTAGCCCGCATATGGTCACCTCTCCGGGAAGGAAGCGTCGTGAATTATTCCGCGAGCGATCCCGGTCACGAGATGCCGAGGTCGGCCCTTACAACACGCCTCTTCGGCTACTCACCTGGGAGGCATTGCTCGTGCACGCTGCTGCGCTCTGACCTGCTGCTCCCTCAGGATCTGCTGATTCGACGAGCAGGTAGATGGGTCTCTGGATTGTTGCAACTGCTGCTGCTGCTGCTGATGGAGATGATGCGAGCCACGATCGGCGCTCGTAGCGAGCGTAAGCTGCGCCAAGTACTCGCGAAGCTCCGGTTGACTGGCCAAGAATTCGCGTCGCAGCTGTGTACTCGAGGTCGGGTTTGACGACGACGACGACGTAATCGCGATCGAGTCAGACCACGGCGGCGGCGGAGTGTGCGAGCGGGACTTGTGACAGAGGTACTCCTCGTACGTCGGCGGCAGGCCGGTCTGTAAAGTGAGTACAGTTGTTCGTCGTTATTCGAGTTCCCGTTACCACGTATGGAGTTTAGTTGTACAATCGCGTGGAAAGCACGTCCCGGAACTGTCCGAGTGAAACTCGGGGGCCTTCACCGTCGCTTACGAGAATTTCCCTTCGTCTTGTCGAACGTTTGTCAGAAGTAGTATACGGTAAAAAAGAACATTGTGTACCTGTGTTAAAATCGGTCCTTGTTCAAAGTTTTGTGTTAAACCTTTAACACGCCCGTGCGGTTATTTAACATATTGCGTTTATTTTATCTCAACGTTTTGCATTGCGTCTCAATATTCAACATGTGTAAGAGTGTCGAAATAACACATTTTACACTTTATTTAATTTTTAATTTCCGACGTAACACTTGCGTTCCATTCCAACACATTCACCTTCTGTTAATTTAACACCGAAATCTGAGCGAGCCGTTCGGGAAATGTGTTGAATTTAACACAAAATGTTTCACCGAATAGATAAAGATAATTGGTATAATGAGTGTTTTCACTGTGCTGGAACGATAAAGCAACGTGACGACGTGTAAATCGGTGTTCTGCGGTGTGTTAACATTACGAGGCTTTCGCTGGGATTTTTCCGATCGAGCTGGCGAACTTTCTCTATTAGGAGTAATGGAAAGAGAGTCTACTCGCTATCCGAATATCCTCTAACCGAGCCATTTTCGGGAACGTCAGATTCGAGCAGTGAGGGATAGCTATATTCGTCCAGTTCGTAAATAATAAAAGAGGTTCTAGATAGGTACGAGAAGCAGGTATCTCTGATGCGTTTGTGCTCTCTCAACGGATCTATTATCTTATCTTTATAAATATTATGTTACCGTTGAGGCAGATAGGGGCAGAGAGAGTAGAGAGAGAGAGAGAGAGAGGGAAAGAGAAACGACTGCTCGCTGCAGCGCCAACAAATTTTCCCGTAAATTTCACCAAACCGTTCGAACGAAACTAGGGTATACCAATATGGCCCATAGCGTCCATCCTGTTTGACGAAGTCGATCGCGAGATTAATCTTTGATTAATTAACAGAACACAACCTCTCAGAAATCTCTCTCGTTGCCCGCGTTGGCCGCATTAGGGTCGCATTACGTTACCCGCAACTCCATTCCCCGGTCGTAGTTGCTTAGCCATTATGTTTGCATGACTGCGGTCTCGATATTCGATCTTCGCGTCGATGTCAGGTTACAGACAACCAGACCACGAGATTCGTGAAATAAAACCACCACCGTGGTCGCGATTCCTCTGAGCTCGAAGCGAGCACCGCACCGGTCTCTCATCCTGGTGCTGGTGCGCATCGTCTTCGTAAATTTGCCCTCCCCCCTCTACTCGCGCGCGACCCTCGTTTGCATAGAGAACGCTTCGGCGCATCAAATATTCCATACCGATTTTCCGTCCAAGCGATAAAATAATAATGAGTAATCATGACCGCGAACGGCGTATTTATTATCGCCATTACAAAAGGGCCGAACTTCGGAAACTCGTTTCCAACAATGTATTAATTCATCAACCCCTGCTGGAATAATGAAGTTAACCGCGCAAAATCGCTCCCGCAGTGTGCATTATATCGCACGGGAGATTATAACGAAGCTGCGAACTGTTTTTTAATACTCCCTCTCGGACCGGGAGAGCCCAGCTTGCCGAGCCTTGTCATAACGCAGCGGAAAAACTTCTCTCTCTCTCTCTCTCTCTCTCTCTCTGTCTTTCCATCTCGTTCCTCTCAGGACCAACTCGGGCCCTCGTGTATTATAATGTAAAAGCTTGCGGTAGCTTACGGACACATATCCTCTCTCCCTTTACGGGTGCCTCGGCATGAAAGTCGTGCGTGCGCGTCGCTTCGCGTTTAATCGTCTAATTGTCGCATAATGGCGCCGTACTTAACGCTAACTTTCCGTCACTGAAGTTTCACGCGGATACAACTTTCGCAATTTTCGCAACTTTCGCAATTTTGCGCTTACACTGTTACTTCGTAATAAGTGCTTTCAGTATACTTCGTGGATTTCGTCGAACTGTCCGAAGTAGAGTCTCGTGCGATCTGATCGAGGAGAACTCCGGTCACGCGCGTGTTCCGGTCCCCGACACGGCGGGATGAAAATGTAACGCGGATTTCGATGGAGAGAAACAGCGTCGTGGTTGTCTGGTTAGACGTAGACGTCATTCGCAAATAGTAATATACGATGCGCTGCTTCATATCCGTGGGGCCCAGGCGCTATCGACGATGCAAACGTCGGGAGGAACTTCAGCCATAAATATGTATTCCGGCGCGGGTAATATTTCGTACTTTTCGTAAATGAAACATCGACGAACGTCGGCACGTCGGCAGTCGCGCGCAGCTGCGCCTCGTTTCGCGGAGTCAAAGCGGAGTCTCGCTCAGCGCGCTCTCGCAAATTGGCCGAAAAGTTGGCCGAAGTTTCTTTCGCCGGAGATCCACCGCCAATCCCCGTCGGCGGGAACATTACCGTGAGATACCGAAGGATGGGAGCGAGGACGAATCGGACAGCCCGCAGCGAGCTTTGCGATTGCTCTTATTGCTGAATCGACAAGTCGAGACGACGACGACGGCCCCGTAAAGGATGACAACGACTAGGAAAACGAGCGTCGTTCCGCGATCTTCGTTCTCGACAAAGTCAAGCAGAGCCCAACGGCAGCCCTCGACTCGGCGAAGAGGTGAAATTGAGTTTCAGGATTATTATCTTGCGATTCCATTTTCCAGCGTGAGACGAGCGTGGTCGCCCTCGAGCGTTCGCTTAAGAGGATCGCGGAGCTCCCGTGGTTGCACTTTTCTGTCCACGGCGGCTGCTTCGCCGCGGGACGATTACGGGACGTGTTTCTCCAAAGTATCGTACGCGCTTCACGTACGAGTGAGAGAGAGAGAGAGAGAGAGAAAAAGAGAGATTGTCTCGTGTCGGATCCCCACGTCGAATCCCGACACGGTTCGACACGATCCTTGTTATAAATGTTACGAAAGCGAGTTCCGCGTGTATAACGACGCACCCACTGTGGCTTTCCCGGGGATACCGATACTACACGGTATTATACGAGGAGCCGCCGGAGCCAATCGATCACCGCGCTAATTCGATAAGGAGAAAGAGTGCTTTCACTCCGAGGTTAAAAGCTTAAACGTTACGGAGCTTATGCCGCTACTCGGCCAGCAATTTTCGCTCCTCGTTCCCGTTTCATACAATCCCTTTATTCCATCGTAACTCGCCGCCTCGCACTAATTTTCGCCCGCTCGCTCGCTCTCTCTCTCTCTCTCTCTCTCTTCGTCCCTCCTCCCTCTTTTCGCAGCCCGTACCAATTTAATCCACCTAGCTGCTCCCCTATTTTTCTATTATTTTTACATCAACCCCTTCGCTCGTCTTTCGTCAGGCTCCCCGTTGCCCAAGCTTTCTCGCTTCCTCGCGCGCCACGTCGGCGCGCGTATCATTTCGGCTAACTCAAGCCGGCGAAATTAATATGCGAGAGCACCTAGCGTTATATCTTACGGATACAGCAACTGTGCGGCGCAGTCCTCCAGTGAAACTATATCGCCGGCCGTATTATATGTTGCTTCCGCTTTTCGAAATATTCAAGACCGCCGTGTTCTTTAATGCAAACGCGCCGTGTCGCAATGAGGCCCGGCTTAATCACGCTTTCTCGTACACTCCGGTGTAACGAGGCACACACGTAGATTTTCGGCCTGCTTTCATATTTCCTTGATTGTACATCACGAGAGCCTAATACGTATTGAATCCTTCCTCGGCACGCTGGCGGAGGAAGCGTCTCTTGACATTCTATCTACCATCTTAGAGTTTCAGTAGTGCGATGAACAATGTCTCGAAGCCTCGGCGAGGCGAATTACGTTGTTTATTCGCACCAACAACCATGTCGGCTCTTACTGACCTGGTTTTTTCATATTTCCTTGATTATATACCACGGAAGCCTAATACGTGTTGAATTGTATAGTAGGATTTCTCGAGCAAGCTTCGCGGAAAAACGCGCCCGCGAAATCGGCCGTACTCGGTTCCCCGATTGATAATTAATTTCTAAACTCGGTCGCCTCCACCGGAGGATTCTCGGGATTCTCCGTGAAAAACTCATCGCGAAGCGCGGACAACGAGGTGCGAGGTGAGATTCGCCAAGTCGACTTTTCATCGGGGTAGGTAGCCGGGTAAAGCACGCCGCGACCGTCGCTCGGAATCTTCCCCTCGTTTACGCACGAAGTCGCTCGATGGAATTTGCTCTGTTAGTGACTATTCCAGACCGAAGGGTATCCCGACAAATGGGGGAGGGAGGGAGGGGGGAATACGATGTAGTTCTCGCGGGAAAATAATAAAGGCCGTTATTCAAATTAGGAGACCCGGCACGCGTATCCGCGGCTCATGAATGGAAACAGCCACTAAAAGATCCGCGAAGTAAGCTCGAGGGCCTTCGAGAGTCGTGCGGGAATCCCCAGCGGCGCTTCCTCTTTCTCCTCCTAAGGAAGGACGAGAGAAAGAACGGGAAAGGGGAGGAGAATGGAAGAACGAGAGACGAGGGATACACGAGGCGTAACTTCTTCGCCGCGTTCCGAGAGTCGTCCTTATCAACGGCTTCGGATCCGGCGCGGCAGACGCTCACCTGTCCTCGTCTCACGCTTTAATCTCGTCTCTCGGACGATATGCCGCACCTTTGACCTAGGGAATGAAAATATCGGAGATGCAAATGCTCCGACGGACTGTGAACAGCTCTCTCTGGTTTCCCTTCCGGAACAGGGTCTCGTTGGCCGGGGATCGTCGTGGACCGACGCCAGATAATTGCATCGCGCGTATAAGAAGCCTCGGAATGCAGCGGGAAATTCGGGAAAAACGAGCCGGGGAGCCGCGTGAGAGATGCGAACGAACGGATACGCCGAGGAAAATCCGAGGAAGTAAAATATAAGACGTATATCCACCTTTACGTCACAATTTAGTCGCGCGTAACAGTCTCCCGCCGTCTGTCTGCCGCGGTGAACTTTCACCGGGACGCGGTTTTGCATTTCACACGAGCACTCGAGCTCGCTCGAGCGAACTAGCGAGCGACGTCGCTCCTCTCCTCGACCATTTCAGCCGGGGACAATTTCAACCCTTTTTCGCGATCTCCTTTGACGTCCCTTTTCATTTCGGAGCAGCCGAGTGCAAACGGAGCTTTCTCGTTATCGCGACACACAAGAAGTCGGTTAAGAATTTATCACCGCGATTATCCCCTGACTTCGAGCGTTTCCTTCAACCCAGGAATCCGGTCTCGTGCGGGAAGATCGATCACCCGCGAATGTCGCGTCAATCATTATCGCTCACGCATCATTTCACCCCGGAACGCGTATGTAATATTGGTTCATGCAACAGCAAATATCCAACCGGGGGAAAAACGGGCGATATAATGTCGGGATCCGACCTTTACTTTCTCTCTTCCTTTCTTGCTTCATCATAAAAAATGTAGGCTCGCTTCTATGGTTAGAACGTTTGCTTTATCGGACGTGGGATGGACGTAAAAATATACAACCCTCCTTGTTAGTCGCGATATTTTTCACCCCTGAATGCAATGTATATCACAGATACACTAATTTCCTCATTGTTTCCCTCTGACTTTTCAAACAATTTTTCTTTCGTTACCATTTAGCTAACAGACCAGGCATTAAAGCAGACGAAAACACGGTGAAGAATCAACTGACAAGTATTATCATGGTGTTAGATATTGCGACTAACAGAGGGAATAAACAGACGCGACTTTGAAAGTTTCACGGCATTGCTAAATAAGGATTTCGATATAAAGGAAACCCGTAATTATTCCGGCAGTCCCTCGTCTAAATATCCGCGTAATTCGAGATCGACCCCTCTCGATCCCCCTTCTCCTCTTTCGTTTTTGAACTTTTCATCTCTGCTCGCAGCTATCTCTTTCATATCTCTCGGTCGGACCCTCTTCGTGTCCGCAATCTGCCTTTTATTATTGCTCAACAAATTGCTTTACCCAATTAATCGTCTTTAGCGCGACATTGACGAAAGCACTGCCGCGGTCCGGGAGGACGGGAGGAGGCGACGAGAGGTATCATCGGAGGAACTCGTGCGGTCGTAGCGGCGAGTTTTCGGCACGGGACGACGATTTTCTGGCAGTGGCGCGACGGCCGGGTAACACGGCTGCACGGTAGGAGGAATTTATGTTCCAGTCGGCGCCGCGCGACTATATGCGATGGAATTGGGCGGCGAACCGGACTGGAACGGTCCTCGAGCTAAGAAGCAGTACATTGAATTTGCCCCCCCCCCTCACCCCCCTCTCTCTGCTACTTGTATACCGCGCTCCCGAGCTCGCCTCGACGAAGTCGAGCCTTCTTTGAGACGACGGATTTCTTCGCGATCACGTAGACCGAAAAAGCTCGAGCGATTGGTTCGCGCACGGAACGTGCCGGAACACGAAGGCTCAGGGATGAGGTCGTGCAAATTTTCGGATCGACGATTTTAGAGCCGCGATAATTCGAGGCGGATCGCGTAGCTCCTCGTCGGAGGGAATTTTGTTAAAGATACGAATACGGGGAATACCGTTCCGTGGCGGGTCTCCGCATTTTCGCGTAATTTTCGCGGAATCCCGGAATGTCTCGATATTATTGTAATCAGTTAGGCGCGCCGTAAATAATAAATTCCACGGGATAATGTAATGTTCCGCGTGTCTGGAGACGCGCGCGACGTGAAATACGGCCGCCGGCGGCGGCGACGCGTTGTGTGCGTAACGGGGATTTATGTAAAACGATAAATCGACTTTTGAAATGGCGCGACGAGTTTCCCCGAGACGTAACTTCGCCGGAATCATCGTGAAGAAACCGCTGGATCGTTAAACTCACGCGGCCCGCTGCTACGAATCGAAACGCTCTCGAGTTGTCGTCCGGCGTTAACAATGCTCGGAATATCAGAGACGCGCATTTCGAAGACTTCAGTTGCGTCGGATCGCGCGCATCCGACCCTAAGGCAGGCGACAAATTCACCAGCATTTTTCAACCCGAGCGTCACCCTCAGATGGTACCTCGGTCGGCCGGCACAGATTTTATTCCACGAGATGACACGCCACCGCGAGATCGCGGGATCCTGCAGACGTCCCACCGTCGACTAATTAGTAATTACCAGCGACTAACGGCGCATTCGGTGGGCCACAAAAGGCCAATTTGTGATCGCGCCGATTGCAGGCGATCGTGCGCACGATCGATTACAGTGCCCTCTCTCTCCAGCCGGGCTCTACCCGCCGCCGATTCGATTATCGATCTTCGGGCTGCTCTCCGGGGTGCTGATTGCTAGATCGCTGCCAATTTCCTCGTCATCCGCTCTCGTCGCGGAATTGCGCAGCGGGGACGCAAATCGAGCGACAGGCGTGCCGGCAGAAGCTCGTCGCGCGACCGAGGCGATAATTCGTTTCGATAACCCCGAGATATTATGCGATTCGAACGATCGGACGTCGGCCGGGGACGCCGACCGACGCTGGCGTCGCCGACGGGCGTTGCGACCGTTACTTGCCGGCACGCGGGACATACCCACGTCGGGAATTAATATTCGAGTTACAGCATTTAAAGCGCGCGGCGATGACAATTTGCAACTATTGTCCCGCCCGGCCATTATTATTGCGCGATGCTCTTACGAGCGGAGCTGAATGCCGATTGTGGCCATTGTGCAATATTGACCGCTGTCGGAAACTGCTGTCCGTCGGGCACACACCGTGCAACTTCGCCGTGTAAACGATAACCGCGCGATATTATCTTCGTTGAAATGACATCGCCCGCCGCAGAGATGGATTACGGGGAGACGATAAAATTTCTGAATCGCGTATAGACTCGCGGCTCCGCCCGGGACGTTCCACGACGGACACCTTGATACCGTAATCAAAGGTCGCGGTGAGCCTTGCGGACAATGCGACGAGCGCACAATGCGAATCGGAAATGCCGCCGGGTGGCGCGGACCGGGGGAGTGTGTTTGCGCGTATTTCACGCGGCACATTTCCCTCGGAGAAGCGGCATCGTCCGCGTTTAACAATTCCGCCGTGCGCCGCGATTTTACTTCGAACCACTTCGCCATTCCTCATCCTCACGAATTTATGCATCGTAACTTTATGCCGCGCATTTTCCGTTTTCCCGAGATTCTCATCCTGGATCACAAAAATATTGTCCATTACGTTTCTCTTTTGCAATGTATACTAGAGGATTTTTCCCGTTCGATCATTATCGTTCCGGGCGTGTCCGTCGGTTATCCCCGAGTCGGTGGCGACACGAGAAAACGAACTGCAGTGTTAACCCTTACCTGTCGCGTTTTCGCGATTGCGACGTCATACGTCGGCGGCGGCGACGTCATAGACGGGAGAGCGTAAAGAGGCGATCTGCTCTGCGAATTCGACTGGCTAATCCCGATCTCACTGATACTTGCGTTCGGCGTGTCCGGTATGGTGGCGTACAGCGCCTCGGGTATGGTACTTTCTCGGATCCCGTCCCCGAGGATACTTGAGCCCGAATCTGCAAACGCGATAGTATTGTAATTGAAAGCTCGCTATGCCCGTGCGGCTACGCCGATTTGCGCGGAGCGTAGAAACGTCAAACTTTATATGTAACTATCAATAAAAACGTATACGTTTTTATTTATTTATTTATTCATTTAAACGAAAAGTATACCCATTTATTTGCAATAACGTAAAGGGAGAAAAGAGAAACGGTAGAGAAACGAGCATGAAATTATTAGCGAAATTTAGATTTCGATATAATAAAAATAAATGAATAGCCGTAATAAAACAAAACAATTCAAGACGAGAGTGGCACGACGAGTCGGGCAACGTTTGAACGCGCTAATTGAGCTGTGAAATATATCAATAGAGTCGGAGAACTCATTAGCCGGAATACAAATCCGATTAATTCAGCTGAAACCGGCTATAAGTTGTGCGATGAAATGTAATGTCAAGACATTGCTCGAACGGATCGCTCTTGATGGCGCGTGTAAACCAAAAGCTTGGAAAATTTCACTGCAAATTACTTTACGATCATTACAATATAATGCGAGAATAATAGTAAAATTATTAATATACATTAAATCGTCGCGCGAACAGAACGACCTACTTTCCTGTCGTTTTCATTGTTCAGGGAAATCTGATTTGTAACAATCTGCTAATATTTAATGTAGCCTGCGGACGCCGCAACTAACCGATGTAAGTGTAATGCGACTCGGCCCTGTCCGCGCTCCGGGTCCTCCTCGAGTGATTGAACCGTTTCTCGTGTTTGCTGCTCTTTATTGCGGGCCTCCTGGGCTCCATCACCGAGCTGCTGCTCCCGGTCTCGCTCGACGTACGAGTCTTCGACGCTCGCGCCTCATCCTGTTGCTTCCGCGTGCCCTTGCTGTCCGAGCTCTTACTGCCCTTCGATTTGGGCACGAGGATGGTCAGTCGTCGCGGGACGATCGAGCTGTTTCGTGACTTCGTGGACAGATCGACGACCACGCCGCAGGCACACACCGGCGTGTTCTCGTTAGGCATCCTGGAAAACAAACGGCACGCGCGTGTGCTGAGAAGATTCGGGAAGATGATGAAGAGAAGAAGCGAGGTGTTTTTCCTATCAAATATCAGACACAAAGCCGGCTGAAATCCGGGTAGCCATGACAATCGCGCAGAAGTAATATCCTCCCCGGGGGCGAGGGGACAGTTCGAGCGAGATAAACGTCGTTCTACCAGCAGTCGCCCCAACGGAGAGCAATTCGTGAGAATTCATGAGCGATTATTACTTTCTTTCGCGCATGCCCAAGAGCGCGATTTCAAAGTATAATAAATCTCTCCTCGTCTGTGTTTACCGGTTTCCCTTTTCGAACCGCGTCCCGACGCGGCCCGTCGCTTTAACGTCGCCATTCAGCGGCGGGCATAAATAACATAAATCACCGGGACTTAGTCGCGCCGAGATTCGCGCCGGTCTCTCGCAATCCGCTACAGCCGGCGCGCCCTACGCTCCGCCAAACAACGTTATCGACGCTCGTGCGCCACGCGCTATTATTAACGAGCCCATAATGGCCCTTAATTGGAATCACTTCGTAACGTTTATTCGCAATAGCGGCCCGCTCAGCCTCGCTTCTCGCGTGACAAACGCGATTACGCGAGCTCGTATTCACCGGGGAAAAAGTGGCCGGGCCCTGAAGTTAAAGGTTCTCTCGTATATGTGTATGCGCGCGCGGAAAACTCGATTGATGATTAATTAGATTATATGAAATTCCGACGGCCGGCCCTTCCGACCGACGTAATTAGCTATATATCGGCGAGATTGCCGCAAGTTGGAAAAGGGAAGAAAGTAATTAAGAGCCAGAGAGGAAATCGTCGGGTCCAGACTGGAAGCGCGACCGATGGCACAATCCTCGCTGTACCTGAGAGGATCAAAAGTATGTCCCAGCGTACTTCACATGCACATCCAACTCGGAGAACTCGGCGCGAGGAATCCTTAATACCGCGATCCAATTTGAACTTTTCGGAATAAATCATTGATCTGCCGAATCTCGCTGTGAGAAGGAGAACGGAGGTCGCGCTTTACCTCTATTACCTCCGAAAGAGAGAGAGGGAGAGAGGGGGAGGAAGGGGAGAAGAAAAGGGAGAGGAGGCGAAGTCAACCTTTTTATTCGACTTTTGCCGGGGAGGAGGAAGAGGAGGATGGCGGCTCGCTCCTTTCTTCTATTCTTCTCGAGAAAATCTTATTCCCGGCACATTTGGAAGGCTACTTCTGAGACAACGAAACCGTCGAGCTCCCGTCGGATCGCGCGATCCCATTTTATATCGTCGAAATGAACGACGCCACCTTCTCTCAGTGTCCTCGTCGGATTTCGTCCTCGAGCGCTCTCTCACCCTCTCAAGATTAAAAGGACCGACCATTGCCGCCTTCGCGTTTATTATCTTTCTATCGTTGCTCCTCTAACCCACTTTCGACGAAATACTCGATTTTAGTACGCCTTTACGCCGAGCATCGCCGATGTCGTCAGAGAGAGGCCTCCGAATCAAATCGAATTTAGTCGCCGTGTCGTGCACCGGTCCATTAAATATCTCTCTCGCGCGCGCACCGGGATTGATACAATATACGAGCTAAAAGTATATAGGGATCAATGAATAAAGCGCGAATAAAGCAGACAAAAGAACGGGAATACAGGGATGAATTACGGATCGATGGTAACCCCATTAGGGTCATTTTTTTTTATAACGCAATTTTATGACACACGACAAAGAATTTGCCGTTGTAAACACATTATACAGGGTGTATCCGAACTCCGTCGACAAACTCACGTCCTGTCCCCTCTTATCGCGACACATTTTCTTCCGTCACTGTCATTTTCTGCAGGCCATATCTCAAAAACCAAACTTTTCGCGGGCATACGTTTACTAAGATATTTTTGCTGATTTTTGAACGTAAGATCCATCCTGCAAGTTCGTCGGTAGAATTCAGATACACTCTGCATAATAAATTGTTGTTTCCGCGCTCTTCGTATCTGATACTTCGAGAATGCGTCCGTGCCTCACCGGAGTGGCGGGCCGAGATGATGATTTCAACTTCTCGCTTCGGCCAGGAGGGACGCGCAGCAAGGCATGGGAATCGCTACATGGAAATTGAATTACGTGCCGTGCTGGGAAATGAGCTACCGGGGACCTTGGTTAGTTTCGACGACAAACTGCTCGCTACAGAGTACGCAGACCTGCCATTACTCATCCCCGCGGATGCTGAAACCTGGGAACGCACCACCACCGTGCAACTTCTTCTTCCGCGCGCTGACTTTGGACGAAGCCCGAAGCTTCGCAGCAGCGGCAGGTTACCAGGGTTCGCTCGAGCACGAATCTAACGTGAGCTAAAAAACAACTCGCAATATATATTGGACTACGTCGGGAAAAAGAAAATTAGATCGCTCTCTGGGCGATCTTCTTCTTAAGAGAATTTGATTCAGTCGAAAGGCAGACTCTGCTCTCCGTAAGTTCCGTTCTAACGCGGCACGCCGCTGGCAATGTCGCGGTTCATCGACGAGCCGTGTATCATGCGAAAGAGTAATCACTCGGATTCGTTACTTAATAGATATTAACAGAGGCCGTTGTATCTACAAAGGTCACCATAATACCACCTTCTCCTCTGGCATGCATTACACACGCGAAAATCGCGCAAGAGGAGTGAGCGAGAACGCGCTGATGTATTTATGATTAAAACCGCTGTCGAAAACGGGACGAACGTAAACGGGTCGTCGTAATCAACATCGCGTGCATCTCTTTTCCGCGTTCGGGAATAACAACATTTAATTACAAGCGTACTCCAGAACCGCCGTTGCAATCAACATCTTCGATGCCCGGCGTGTGCGAGTGACTCTACCCGGCCGCAGTTATCGGGCTACATTGATATCGACAGAGATGAGAGAGAAATGGCTTTCCAGAGATAATTATTACAATAGCAAAGCGCACAGCAATGGGCAGCCGTAACACTATGACCAGGTCGAATGAATTCTCTTTTCCTGCCAGTAATATCGAGCACGGAGAATCTCCTCCTTTCTCTTTCTCTCCCTCTCTTGCTCGCTCGCTCGCTCGAAATCAAATATGTCCCACGATTGCTGATCTTCGCACCGATGCACAGCAAAGCGAAACCGGCCTGTTCGAATCGAAATTAGGTTGCACCCGTATCTGTTTGTAATCAGGAATATGATATTTCATGCTTCCGGATGGGAGGGAAATGCTCGATCTGGCTTCCGAGCTTGCTGTCGCGTCCTTCATAAAACTTTGTTCCCGACGTTTCATAAATTAGATCGTTCACGAAAAACGTCGAAAAACAAATCTATGAAGAACCTGGCAACAGCCCTTGGCGCTAGATCACACAGGCAGATAAAATATACTCACTCTCTTTCTTCGCGCGACATGCCAATTACTTACTTCACCTTGCGTCTTTAATAATAAAACTTCGACTTCCTAGTCTCATACACGGCGGACTCTCGCAGTATAAAACGCAATATCGGCTGAAGGCGCGCGTCGAAAACAAACTCCAATCCGGGACGGTAAAATAAAGCTACAATTTCCTCCCCTCGGAATCGCAACTCCCGGCGAGTCGCCGGCTCGCGAAAATTCCTGCGATTTTTGCAGAGTCTAGACGGGGGAATCAGCGCAAAAGGAAGAAGACGCCCGCGTCTGCCTTTGATCGCGCCGGGATTAATTCATTACAGCGGAGAGGTAGGAAAATAACGTGGCGTCAGCAGCAACGACGTTAATTAATTTTGTCGTGCGGCCTCCGCGGCGAGCTTTTTACTTCTCATGCCTACTCCCAGCGGCCCGCGCACTGTTCCACATTGATGCTGAATTATTGGCCTGGCCGATCCGGGGGGTGGGGGAAGGGAAATAATTAAATTGTTCAAATATTTAACACTCCGCGGATAACGTCCCCGTGCGAAATGACGTAAGAGACGATTTTCATCAAGCCTCGCGCACACTGACGTTCGTTTATATATTTATTTGTTCGATTAACGAAATTAACAGAACTCTTTGACGTACAGAGCGAATCACGGGGCGCGGGAAATTATATGAGAGAAAAATCTATATAAATACAAATACAAGGAACACAGAGGATTACCAGTTGTGATGGAATTCTGTATAAATTCAATCTAAAATCCCTCGTAGATTTACGAAGGAAAGTCAACGGAAATACTCGAATGAACGAAGAAAACGAATGGGCAGCGAGCGGGTCCGAACGTTCGCTCGTTCGTTCATTAGGTGTACACGCACCTTTACGCGTTGCCCCGCGTCTCCGCGGCTCGACGTTGAAAATCTCGGCCTGCCGGCGAGAGCCGTCGTGCGATACCCGGGCATGAACGGCTGAAAGAATCGCACACGGTCGTCGTCGTGTGTTAATTAAAAGCCACGACACGCGCAACTCCGCGACGGTGGACCCTCGACGGCTCGAGTTTCGTAATTAATCCGGACGCGCGCGCGGTCGGGATTCACCGGAAGAAAATCCGGCGCACGGATTTCCGCGGCGAGCTCCCCCCGCGCTTGTCCCCCCCCCTGCGAAAAATGATCGCCGCTTCGTGAATCGTCGTCGTCGGCTCGAAAATAGTCGAGAGATCTACGGACGAACGCGCGGCGGCGCGATTAAAATTCTTTTTACCGCGCCGTACGTCTCGCCCGACGCGTCTTTCGCCGTGAGATTTATGGGAGCCGCCGGCAAGCTCGACGTGTTTCCGCGTCTCTTACTTTTCTTTCCGCCGACATGCGCTTTAATGTACGTACGCGCGCGCGCGCCACTTTCCCGACGAAACGCTTCCGCCTTCCGACAACGAGGACGACGACGATGTAACGTCTGTCGCGTCGTTTCGCTTTCGCGCCCTCTCGGCACGTTCGTCTCGAAATATCGGCCGCACGCGCCACCAGCTGTTAACGAGATTGAACGTGCGGTTGAACGCGCCGACGAGAGAGACGCCGGTATCCCGCCCGATTATCCGGGGGATTCTCCCTCGCAGATATTTCGAGCATTTAGGCGGACGAAAGAGT